TTACTGTGTGCGGGGCTCTGTGATGCTCGGGACAGATGATACAGAGGTGACCCTTCGAAGTGTTGGCTCTCCTGTCGACTCCGTCTCCTTTCACTGCCCCGTGTTAGTTGGGATACATCCCAGCAGTGTCCTGCCATCCTGGTCTCGTCACTAGGAGAGGCTGCTCCCTCTTATCCCACCCACCAGCCGCTTTGAGCTTCTGACTGTTTGCAGACATTCCAGCCCCTTGCACACTTCTGAGCCTGTGTGGTTCCTTCCAGCTGCATTGTCTGTCTCCACCTTCCCCACTTCCACTCCTTAGACGCCCCCAGGCAAACCTAGTTATTCTCTCAATGGTGACCTGTTCATGGCTTCTCTCGATCTCTGTTGAGGCACTTGTCTCATTGTTGTGATGTCTCCCTTATTGCACTGGTGGGTCTCAACATGCTTCTAATCTGGTCTGTCTGCCCAGAACCTAACAGTGCCCGCACATGGCAGGTACCTGGCTTAGTCATCTAGTGCTGCTGTAACAGAAATACCACACGTGGATGGCTTTAACAAAGAGAAATTTATTCTCTCACAGTCTAGGAGGCTACAAGTCTGAATTCAGGGTGCCAGCTCCAAGGGAAGGCTTTCTCTCTCTGTCAGCTCTGGGGGAATGTCCTTGTCATCAATAAAACATGTCGTTGCTAGGCACTGTCGAGTCAGTTCTGACTCATAGGGACCCTATGTACAACAGAAGGACTCACTGCCCAGTCCTGCGCCATCCTCACAGTCGTTGTTATGTTTGAGCCCGTTGTTGCAGCCGCTGTGTCAGTCCATCTTGTTGAGGATCTTCCTCATTTTCGCTGACCCTCTACTTTACCAAGCATGATGTCCTTCTCCAGGGACTGGTCCCTCCTGATAACAAAGTAACGTGAGATGAAGTCACACCATCCTCACTTCTAAGGGTATTCTGGCTGTACTTCTTCCAATGAAACATAGATGGTGCTGCTTTGGACTATAAGGCTGAGGTGTTATGCATAGCAGAGGAATGAGAGAGGTGAAGCCTAGGTCCCTGACACCTCGGTCTCTGAATACAGGACAACCTATGCAGACCTCTGCATGAGAGAAAAATAAACTTTATCTTGTTAAAGCCACTTACTTGAGGCTTTCTGTCACTTGTAGCTAAATTTTGAATGCCAAATTTGATAAGGAGTGTCTAGGCAGGGGAAGGAGGAAATGCCTAGAACATAGCACATTCTTTAGCGGGCAGAGATTTGGCTGATTTCAGTGTTAAGAGGGGGTTTAAATGTCAGATGGCTGTTAAGATTCCATAGATCATTTTAAGTTCACGTCTAATCCTGACAGTCAGTGACTTCGTAGTGTTGAGCTTTTCTTCCTTTTTTTTTTTTTGAATAAATTACTATATTTTATAATTTTTAAGACACGTTTTCACATTTAATGTGAAATGAGGGTCTGTTTCACTGTCAGCCTCTTAGCTTTGAGCTATGATCAGACCAGAATTTGACATTTAACCTGGATGGTCCATAAAAAGAAAAACCAAACCAGTTGCCCTCAAGTCACTTGCACGTTACGGAGTAGTTCTCCATAGGGTTTTCAAGGCTGTGTGACCTTTTGGGAGCAGATTGCCAGGTTTTTCTTCCAAGGTATCTCTGGGTGGGTTCAAAATGCCAACCTTTCAGTCAGGAGTCCAGCATTGAAACACTTTCACCACCCAGGGCCTCCTGATGCTCCACAGGTGCCCCCAAAGTGGCTGGAGTTAGTAGCATAAAAAATTTAGAGCCTGAATACTGGTTTAAAATCAACTGGTTACAGTAGCCAACCCAGGATTAGGCATACAGGGCAGCAGTTGAAAGAGTTACTAGTTCAGGTTCAGAGAAAGGCCGTCTGCAGCTCAGGTTTCCTGGCTTCCCTCAGGCTCCTCCCTCCTGCAGCCCCATGAGTCTCCTGTGGCTCAGATTTAAGCTGTTTGGGCTTTAGGAAGGAGCTATGGTGGGTGCTCATTTAATAAGATGATTCTGAGTGAAAGCGAAAACAGGATAGAAAGTAAAGATTCAAAATAATCCTTTGACCTAAATCTTTAATTTTGTCCTAGGCATGGAGTTTTAGAAGACAAGGAGTGCTAAAGGGATTATGTCAAAGAACAGTTCACTCTGTGGTTCTCCAGGGCAATCACTTTGCATTCTTTAGCTGTTTCTTCAAACATCACCTAGTAACATCCTATTGTAGATAGGGACTTCGGGATTTTTCACATCCCCTTCACCCTCCCTAATCTTTCTGTTATAACTACATGACAATTTTTGGTTTAATCAGTGTTCACAGTTTCATTATTGTAACTGTGTAATTGCTGTCCCTGGTGAGCCCAGCGGTGTGCTGTGATGGTTTTTCCTTTTATTGTATAATAATTTGTTTTTCTTAAGGTTAATGATTGCCGTTTTTCTTCCCATTTACTTTGTTTTCTTTGATTGTCTGGCAGAAAACTCTCACATCCTCCAAAAGTTCTCTAAGATTTCTCTTACTTTGATTTTTCAGTTGGTTACAACTTTGCCATTTTTATTAGTTCTGTGTTTTTCCAGGAGGCCGCTTTACTGGAGCTTTGTGACTTCCAGCTGCCACATGTGCTGCTTGTCGTCTCAACTTAGGACACAGTGGTTACCCAACGTTTCCTGGGGATTCTGTTTTCCTTTCTCCTTTTCTTGGTTTACTTCCTCATTTGGTGGCATCCATCCTCCAGCATTTCCTAAGAAAGCACGCAAGGCAGGTAAGTTTGAGGTTTTACGTGCAGAAAAGCCTCTTTCATGTACGCTCCCGTTTGATTTATGGTTGGGCAGAGTACAGAATTCCAGTTTGAAAACACTTTTTTTTTCCCCCTTAGAAATTTGAAGACAATGTTAAATTGTCTTCTAACTTTCAGTGCTGATGTAGAGAAGTCTGTCTTTCAGATGGCTGATCTCCCATACGACCTTTCTTTGACTCCCAGAATTTTTTAGCATAGTGGTTAAATGATGGGCACAAAGCCAGACTGCTTAGCTTTGCTCCTTCCTAAATGTACAACCTTATGGCAGTTATTTAACTCTCCGTTCCTCGGTTTTCTCATCTGTAAAATGGGGACAATAGCACCTGGGGGTGCTGGTTCAAACCTACCAGCAGCTCCCCAGGAGAAAGATGTGGCAGCCTGCTTCCCTAAAGATTTACAGCCTTGAAAACCACATGGGGCAGTTCTCCTCTGTCCTGTAGGGTCACTATGAGTTGAAATTGACTCGATGACAGTGGTGGGATACCTAAGAAGAGCTGTTTGTGGGTGATATGACAATTCACGTAAAGCACACAGAACAGCTTCTTATGCATAATAAACAGCCACGTATTGGCTGCTATTAATTGTTGTCATACTCTTCATCTGTTATACAGTGTCACGGTGGCCGCAGTGGCTGGGTCTTTTCCATTTATTGGGTGGGACTCTGGAGCTCCTCAGACTTTTGTCCTTCAGCCCTAGGGAATGTTCCTGTATTCTTTCTTTCCTTCTTACCATTATGTTTTCTTTTCCCTCTTGCTGGTAGCACTGTGAGTTGCATGCGGAATCTGCTGGATGATCCCCTAATTTCAAAAAGTCCTTTTCCTTTCTCACTTTTTTTTTGTCTTTTTACTTAAATTCCTGGGATATTTTCTCCACTATATTTTCTGAAGTTTTTAATTTCGACTTTCATATTAATGTCTAAGCATTTTGCTTTTTAAAAAAATAAGATTGACTTTGCACGGATGTATTTTCTTTCAGGATATTAATGATAGATTTTCTAATTTTTTTTCTTGGCTGCATTGCCTCAATTTCCTCTGAGTTTGTTTTTCCCTAATATTAGAGGCAGTCTTCAAATATTTGGCCAATGCTTGGCTTCCTTTTTTAAGCTGAGCCTCTCAAAAGCTAAGGGAACTTTGTGCTGGGGACAGGGATTGCCAGTGTGCTACGTGATAATGTGAACGAGTAGCCAGCTGGCTGTTTGTTTCAGAACCGTAAATGTCAGTGTCTATGGGTCTTTCTCTGGACGCAGTTCAGTTTCTGCAGAAAAGGATCTAGTCTGTTGCCTGGGATCGTAAACCTGGTGGATGCTTATTGTGGAGCAATAGAATGTCCATGTTTTCACCCCATACCTCCCCCTCAGCCTCCTGAGTCTAAAAAAACCCAAACCCATTGCTGTTGAGTCGAATTACGACTCATATCGACCCTGTATGAGCCTCTGTGTCTAGCATCTTTAAATGTGGAGCTTTAATCAATTTCTTCTGATATTATACAGCTTTCTCCTGGGTGAGGGAGTCCCTAGGTGGTGCAAACAGATACTGCACTTGGCTGCTAACCAAAAGGTTGGAGGCTCAAATGTACCCAGGAGCACCTCAGAAGAAAGGCCTGGTAATCTCCTTCTGAAAAATCAACCATAGAAACCTTAGGAAGCATAATTCTACTTTGACACACATGGGGTTGTTGTGATTTGGAATGACTCGATGACCACTGTTCTCCCAGGTGGAGTGTAGTTGTCTAAAGGTACAGCGTGTTGGTAGGTATGTGGGGCAGGGAGGTGGGGGCCTGCTGGATCCTTGTAGAGAAGTTCAGGCAGACTCCTACTGGGCCCTGCCCCTCTGCGTCTTCTGTTGCTGTTTCTGCATCCAATATTTGGGTCATTCTGGAGTTCTACAGGGTGTCCTGGTTTGCTTCCCTGTAGTATTTCCTTCTGTAAGGCCTCATTTGGCCTCCCTGTGCCCTACTAGGAGCCATGGTGGCTCAGTGGTTAAGAGTTCAGTTGCTAACCAAAAGGTCGGCAGTTCGAATCCATCAGGCATTCCTTAGAAGCCCAATGGGGCAGTTCTACTCTGTCCAGTCGGGTCCCTATGAGTCAGAATTGACTCTGCGGCAGTGGGTTGGGTTGGGTTTGTCGCCCTGCTGAGTCATTTCTCCTTTCCTTTGTTGACATGTGTGATTACGGTATCACCGATTATTCAATGTTGGTTTCTTGTTCTTTTTTTCTATCTAAGCTACTGTAAAGGACACGGACTCTATTTAAAAATAAAACTCAGATTTATGGAAAGTAAAGACAGCTCGATCCGGGGACACGTTAGATCTCACAAAATGAAAACCGGTGCTCTGGACAGTGACAGTCGTGCAGGTACAATTACAGGGCTAAGTTGGGAGCTCAGGTTACAGTATTCTGATTGGAAGTTGCAACATCAGGGAGGCCGGAGGCGGTACTACTTGAAGCGGGGGCGGGGGCTGTTTACGGTGATTGGTTGGAAACACGAATGTGGGCTCTTTGGATTGGCTAGTTTAAAATATGACTAAGGAGGCGTTTTACAGGGTGGTCACAAGGTAATTATCTGAAAACATTTCCGGAGAGTTCCTGGTGGGGTTCCTTATAAACGTCTTGTGTTAAGACCCTCCCTTGGGGACATTCTTTCCATATCTTTAGTTTAACCACAGAGAAAAGTGATTCCGTTGTTGTTACTAAAGTCTGTCCAAGGGTTTGACCTTTGCGAGTGTAAAAGCAGAAATGATAAAATGGAGTCCGCCGGGCCCTGAACCAGCCTCTTCAGATATACCAGGTACCTCAATTTTTAAAGCCCTTATACTAAGCAAACAGAATTCCATATTAAGTTATAATGACTTAGTATTAGGAAAAGAGTAAGTATGCCAGCAGCATGCTGTCTTGAGTTATAAGTCTCGATCTGTGGAATGATGACCTTTGGATTTCAGGAAGTAGAGGGAAATTTGCCTGTCCATTTTTAGTTTTTATTTGTAGAATGAAACACTCTTCACAGCCATTTTTATCGCTAGTTTCTGTGTCTCTTTTGTATGACTAAGTATGAGTTGCAAATGAAAAAAAAAGAAAAAGATTCTGTGGAACCTTTGAGCCCAAGCCTGTCATTTTGACTTTTGTTGTTATTGTTAAATTTATACTCACTGAAGTTCTACACTGAGACGTTAAAACATTCTTGCAAACACAATAAATTTTAAGGCTCAAAGTCGTCATCTAGTTTCCCAGACTCCGTGGAAAATCCACACTTCCATGATTGGCTTAGACCAATCAGAATTTACCCCTGAACTGAGAATGGTATCTTTTCCTAAATTATGTGGAGTAAGGATAGACACCTTCTGATGGTTAAGGTTGTGTGTGAA